AAAAAAAAAAAAAAAAAAAAAATAGAAAAACTATCTCAGTGTTGTGGCAGATGCCTTTAGTCCCGGCTGCTGGGGAGTCTAAGGCAAAAGGATCTTTTTTTTTTTTTTAATTGTTTGGGATTCATTGAGGGTACAAAGAATTGGGTTATATTAATTGCATTTTTAGATAAAGTCCCTCCTATAGTTGTGTCCTGCCCCCAAGAGGTGTACCATACGCTGTGACCCTCTTTCCTTCTCCGTCCTTCCTGCTCCCCACTTGCTCATTTCCCTAACCCCCACCTTGTATTAGCTCATCTGCTGCCTTCATATTAGAATTGAGTACATTGGATTCTTGCTTCTCCATTCATGTGATGCTTTACTAAGAAGAATGTGTTCTACCCCCATCCCTGTTAATGCAAAAGATAGAAAGTCTCCATGTTTTTTAGTGGCTGAATAGTATACCATGGTGTACACATACCACAGCTTGTGAATCCATTCCTTATTTGGTGTGTATTTAGGTTGTAAGAGGATCTCTTGAGTCCAAGAGTTTGAGGTTGCTATGGGCTATGATGCCATGACATTCTACCTGGGGTGACAGAGTCAGACTATGTCTCAAAAACAAATTAAAAAAAAAAATCTGTACAAGAAAGTAAAGTACATGTATGTATCAGTACAGTGAGCTTATTTCCTTAGTGGTCAACTTACAGAGGTTCAAGTGTAATTGTATGTCCATAATAATTTATTTGGTCAGTTTCCCATTAATAATTTTAGGTTGATTGCAGTTTTTCACTGTTATAAACAGTGGTAAATAATCTTTTTTATTTGTCTTTTAATGTTTGTTACACTAGGACTATTACTTCCTGAGATAGATAGATTCTTAGATGTGAGATAGTCGAGTCAAAGGGTATGCACATTTTATGTGTTGCTAGTATGGTCAGACAGACTGCTTGAAAAGTGTTACTCTCTTCAGCTTAGAGGACCTGTTAGTGGATCAGGCATTTTATTGGTACCTTACCTCACCAGTTAAATATAGGTGAAACAGATCATTCTTTGTTAACCATAATGTGTCTGTCATTCTTTCTGATTCAGCTTTTAAAGGCAGTCCATCTTCAAGGCCATGAAGGTCCCGTTTACGCGGTACATGCCGTTTACCAGAGAGGAACATCAGATGCTGCGTTACACACACTGATTGTTTCTGCAGCTTCAGATTCCACTGTTCGACTCTGGTCTAAAAAAAGTTCTGAAGGTAGGTTTGGAGATATTATAATCCAGAGAAATGAAATAGTAATCCTCAAATGATAACTAGAAAAGCATATATGTAACTTTTTTAAACTTTGAGGCAATTTTAAAAATGCTGTAATCCTGATCTCAATTTTTGTTTCTTTTGCACTTTTTAAAAATTCCTCTATGGCCAATTGTTTGACAATGTAAATTCCTTCCATGCCTTTTCATATAAATAATTTTGTTCTCTGTACCGTTGTTAAAATTTGTCCTTGCATCGTTGGGGCTCCGGAGTGACTTTTCTCATCTCCCTGCTGATCTCTAGGCTGTGACGATGCTTCCCACCCTCTCTAGACTGATAAGCTCACAGACAGTTGTTCATATGTTTTTTTATTATTTCTCAGTAACATGCCTTCAGACCTTAAACTTTGGAGATGGCTTCACTCTGGCTGTCTGCTTATCTTTTTTGCCTAATACCAATGGTGAGTATCCTGTTAATTGTATATTAAAAGAGAAGTATATTCATATACCTCCATGGGCTCAGAACAAAAAGAAATGTATCAGGTCTTATTTTGTTATTTAAATTTTGCACAAAATAAGATGTGGATGATATACTTCTATTACAATATTCAAATGATGTGACTATAGAACAAAGTTAAGGGAGGTTAATTAGGATTTTGGTAGCTGTTGAAAATTTAAGTAACTTAATGTATGCTCAAGATCGATACTACTGGCTCGGTGCCTGTGGCTCAAGTGGCTAAGGCACCAGCCACATATACCTAAGGTGGCGGGTTTGAATCCAGCCCGGGCCGCCAAAACAACAATGATGGCTGCAACCAAAAAATAGCTGGGAGTTGTGGTGGGCGTCTGTGGTTCCAGCTAACTTGGGAGGCTGAGGCAGGAGACTCACTTGAGCCCAGGAGTTGGAGGTTGCTGTGAGCTGTGATGCCACGGCACTCTACCCATGGGGACAGCTTGAGGCTCTGTCTCAAAAAAAAGATTGATACTACTAATTATCAAATTTATTATAGATACATATAGACCTGATTTGGGGCAAGTATCTAATTTTTTAGAAGGTGAACTTCCGGAGTAAGTTGAGAAAGTACTGACAGTGGACCGTGTGAGCATTTCTCTCAAGATGACAGCCCCTTCACATCTGCAAAATGACAGTTTGCCGAGACCACTTAAAATCTCCACACAGAAAAATTTCCCTTTTGCCATAAAACCCATCTGTACCTCTCTGATTATCTTCCACCAAGACAGTAATGAGTGTGAGTCCGTCTGTTTGCCTCTTAGTTACCTAGAAGACAGGCCAGGTGAGAGAGGTAGGACCTAAAGCCCCCAGCCTCTCTTGCCCCCTGCCCTAGGAGCTGCGGCTTTATGGTTTCATATTATGTTTCCATTTGGGGCAAGGGCTGCCTGAGATGAGAAGCCAGGAGAAACCATTCTGGTTTTATAATATTGAATTTCATTTCTTCCTGTCTACATTGAGGCCAAGTCACTAGGATTTTTTTTAATTGTTGTATTTTTTTGTTTGTTTAGTTGATTTAAAGCAGCGGTTCTCAACCTGTGGGTCGTGATCCACAGGAACTGTAGTAAAGGACTGTGGTATTAGGAAGGTTGAGAACCACTGATTTAAAGTGACAGAAATCTTTGGGAAAAACAATACTTCGTAGCAAGGTGTTTCCTTAGGAAAGGTCTCTATTTTATCTTGCTGTGAAGTTGGTAGGGCTACCCTTTGGTGATGCGAGTTAGTTTTTCTCTTATTAAACAAAACTAATTTTACAGTCACATCTTTCATAGCTTTTTAACTATATATTCAATTATATGCTCTTTTATTTTGTTGTTAATATTGAATTCTCAAACAAAATATGAAGTCCTTGAAGTACCAAACATACCCTTTAATCTTTGTGTAGTAGCCATGTTGCTGGACTCAGAGTAGTAGTATTCACTTGAGCTAAAAAAGGTTTATCTTGGTCTTCTGGTTGACATGAAAATGCTTCTTACTGGCTCTTGAGCTTATTTTTTGCTGCTCCTCCTCCTTCTTTTTTTTTTTTTTGTACGAAAGGTTTTTATTGGCTGGGGCGGGGTGGGGAGTGATGCTGTAGAACAGCACCAAGGAGGAGAGAAAAGAGAAGAGAAAAGAGGAGAGAGAGGAAAGAGAGGAAAGGGAGGAGAGAGCTCGCTGCTCCTTCTATCATAAATGACATAGAATGGAGGGAAGGTCTCTCAGTTAACAGTCATTATTTGCTAAGTAACCACTAAATAGAACATTTTAGAGGATCCATTTTATTCCTGTAGACATTTATTGAGCACTTTCAATTATTTGTTCAGTGGTGTGGGAAATAAAAGTTAGGATTCTTTCCATAGGGGTTAGAATACAGCATCGGCGATAATCATAACATGTGATAGAGTAGAGTACTCACAGTGAAGCCTGTTTTTTTCTCCCCAGTACCAATATTAGCATGTGGTGATGATGACTGCAGAATTCACTTATTTGCTCAACAAAATGATCAGGTAATTAATAATGATTATTAAGAGACTATAATTATGTTCTGCTTAGTTACATATCTTAATACAGATTATTTCCAGATTATAGAGTTTTGGGGATATTCTAAACCAGAGTAATCCA